ACTTATCAGTCTTTTTGTTCCTGTGATGCAAAGCAGGGAGAAACCAGAGGCTTCGGCTGGCTGGCAGGCAGCACAAAACCAGGTACCAGAATAGAGACATGTAGAATGTCGCTTCTAGCCACTGAACTATCCTTACACAGTGGCCCCATGTGGTTTAGGAAGATTCCAGAAGTGGCATTGTATTTCCTAGGGAACAGGAATCAGGTCGAAACTGAGGGCTCAAGAAACCAGCAACTCCCTGGGGTGGTCTGACTCGGGCAGGCGAGCCTGGAGATGCCAAGCCTGGAGTGCCTGACCGGAGAAAAGAAAGAAACCTGGAGCAGGAGTGTTCAAAGCACTGGGAAGCCATCCCAGTCAAAGAATTTGATACAAAACAGAACTGATTTATTGGATGTCGTAAAATAGTAACCCAGAATTATTCTCTCTGTTAGCACAAAATAAACATGTGCAATTGTAGTGTATGCATTAGTGCTGACATAACATGTTTGTTTAGATGGGGTGAATATCCCAGTAATATCACATACTTTGGATTTTTGATGTAAACCGAATTTCCCTGTTGTTTTTTTTTTTTCTTTTAACAGGAAGTTCCCAGAGAGAAAAGCCAACGGGGAAGAGAAGAAAGACTGGCCAGTGTGGAGACCAAACAGGAGCTGTGAGCTGAAGCTGGCAGAGTCTGGCCTTGGTCAGCATATTCTCTTCTTTCTCTTTAAAGGCAGAGCCTCTGGTAGCCTAAGCTTGTATTGAATTTGCTGTGTAGACAAGGATGATCTTGAACTCCCAATCCTCCTGTTCCACCTCCAGATTGCTGGGATTATAGCCATGCGCCACTACGCCCAGTTTTATGTACTATGGGAGATCTATCACAGGGCCTCATGCATACTAGGGTAACCACTCTACCAACTAAGTTACCGACCTAGCCCCTAGTCACACCTTTTAATATATAAAACCTTAATCTGTTAATAGGATTGTTAAAAATTTCCATGTTAAAAAAGACTTATTTTGTGTTTGTCTGCCTGTATGTATATGTACCACATATACATAGGAGGCCAGAAGATGGTGTTAGATCCCCAGGAACTAAAGTTAGATAGTTGTGAGCCACCGTGTGGGTGCTGGGAACTGAACCCAGGTCCTCTGCAGGAGAAGCAAGTGCTCATAACTATTGAGCCATCTGTGGTGGTTTGAGAGAAAATGGCCTCCAAAGGGAGTGGCCCTATTGGGAGGTGTGGTTTTGTTGGAGGAAGTGTGCCACTATGGGGGCAGGCTTTGAGGTCTTTTGCTTAAGCTTCATTCAGTGTCACAGTCTCCTTCCTGTTGCAAGATATGGTACTCTCAGGTACTACTCCAGCACCATGTCTGTCTGCACGCCGCCATGCTCTCCATCATGAGTATAATGGACTGAACCTCTGAAACTGTAGACGAGCTACCCCAATTAAATGTTTTCTTTATAAGAGTTGCCATGGTCATGGTGTCTTTTCACAGATTTAGAAACCTTAACTCAGACACCATCTTTGCAGTCCCAAGGTCTCTATTTAAAAAAACTTAACCGCAGAGGAATGGGATAGTACTAAATTTGGTTAAGCAGGATGAGGTTTCACTATAGCTCTGGCTGAGCTGGAGCTCATTAACTGTCTTTGAACTCATAGAGATCCACTGGCCCTTGTTCTCACTCTTGGTTGAACTTGATTTACTTGTTTAGTATGGACAATCTCGCCCTGGCAGTGTGAGCTGGCAATATCCCAGTGAAACACAAAGCACCCCCAAAAGCCTTGGAGAGGGCTGGGGATGTGTTACAAACAGCTAAGTGTATTTCCCAGGAAACCCACTTCTGCAGGTTCCAAATATATGCTCCAAATCTGGCTGCCCTGGTAGGGTATATCTTCATTTCAGAGTAAGAGGAGGAGGTGGTCACAGGTCCTGTTTTCTTCACTTCAATGAACTACAATTTGTTGATGTGTGGTGGTTAACATTGATCATCCACTTAACAGGGCTAAAGACACCTAGAGGACAAGCCCCGGGACACACCTGTGAGGGAGTTTCTAGTCTAGGTTGACTGAAGTGGGACAGCCCACTCTAACTGTGAGTGTACCGTCCCATGAACTGAGGTCCTAGACCGAACACAGAGGAAGTGAGCCGAGCACCAGCGCTCATCTCTCTCTGCTTCCGGACTACAGATGCAGTATGAGCAGCTGCATCAAGCTCTTGCCACCGTGGCTTCTCCAGGACCAAATGCGGCCTTGGATTATGAGCTGGGATGACTCCCCCTTTCCTGTAAGCTTTTGCCAGCAGTGAGACAAAGGACTAATACACATGGCACAGTGGCTGTTCCACTTTTCTTTTATATCACATGTAGAAATACACGATTTCTTACTACTTATCTGAACTCTAATTTTGTCCTTTGATGGTTTCACACGTGTATATGATGTATCCTGGTTAATAATAATACACTATTATAATATAAACTAAATGCAATCCCTCTCCTTTTTAGCTCCCCTCCCCCTGCCAGTCCTTCTTCTTCCCTGTAAATCTGTGTCCTACATCCATGGGTTTTTGTTTCTTTTGTGTCCCACTGAGTTTAAGGTTGGCATCTGTGTGACCATGGGCTTGAAACTATCTACAGAGCCTGGTGAGCTCAGCAGTGGGCACACAACTGAGTACTATGCCTCCCTCTCCCCCAGAATCTGTTGCTTGCCAAGAGGAAAATCTTAAAATTTTTATTCTTTGTCACTTTCCCCCCAGTTGGTTTCTCATTAGAAATGGTTTTGGATTTTCTCATTTTTTTTTTAAATGAGCTTCATTTACTATTGCTCTTTGCAAGCTTCCAAATACTCCAATAGGTCTTCAGTGTTGTCATGCCTGAGAATTTGCGCTGAGGAGTACATATTCTTCAGTAAGAGACGGCTTTTGTCCTTACCGTCACTGTTGGAGTCATGGGAGATACATGCTTCTGTAAGTTACACTATCAACAAAGTCTACGTCATGATAATAAAGAAGACAATTGCTGTGGGATGTTCTGTATGGCAAATGTGTTGCTGATTAGTCAATAAATAAAACACTGATTGGCCATTGGCTAGGCAGGAAGTATAGGCGGGACAAGGAGGAGAATAAAGCTGGGAAGTGGAAGGCTGAATGAGAGAGACACTGCCAGCCGCCATGATGACAAACAGCATGTGAAGATGCCGGTAAGCCACGAGCCATGTGGCAAGGTATAGATTAATGGAAATGGATTAATTTAAGGTGTAAGAACAGTTAGCAAGAAGCCTGCCACGGCCATACAGTTTGTAACCAATATAAGTCTCTGTGTTTACTTGGTCGGGTTTGAGCGGCTGTGGGACTGGCAGGTGAGAGAGATTTTCCCTGACTGTGGGCCAGGCAGGAAAACTTTAGCTACAGACAATAAAAATGTTTATTCAAGCCGGGCGGTGGTGGCGCACGCCTTTAATCCCAGCACTCGGGAGGCAGAGGCAGGAGGATCTCTGTGAGTTCGAGGTCAGCCTGGGCTACCAAGTGAGTTCCAGGAAAGGCGCAAAACTACAGAGAAACCCTGTCTCGAAAAACCAAAAAAAAAAAAAAAAATGTTTATTCAGGAAGAGTGTTGGGTCAGTCAGATTGTGTTGAGTGATGATGCCCTGCAGAATCCAACCCATAGCAAAAAAAATCTGCCCTCCCATGCTGACAAGCTGCTCTCCGAGGCAGGCCTGCATCCAGGGGAGGTTTAAAGTGATGGAGACTTGGGCTTCCACTGAAATAATGGGACCTGGTCAGTAGAAAGGTCACCCTGAATGACTTTGGCCAGAAGGCACACCAGTAGGATTTTCTCTTGCGCTTGAGTTTGAGTCACCTTGCCTCTCTTGAAACATACGGCATCATCTTCTCTCTGTTGTGATCAACGCTCTTCATCTCAGATTTGATGTAAACAGCAAAATCCCCAAATACGGGAGAAAATGCATCCATGCACCTCCTCCTCTTATTCTTGTTTTTGTCCCAGAGCACTTGGCCATCACTGCTGACTTGTGGCGCCAGTCACGCTTTACATCGATGGCATCTCCTGGCCTCTCTTGATTTAAACCGAAGTTGGGCTGCTCCAGTAAAAGGATTGAATTACATGAAAACACTGACTTTATCCCTTGAAACCTTCGTTCCTTCCTCTTTATGTTCTTGAAACTCAAAACTCTAGCAGGAATTGCAGTTTAGAAGCAGAATAAAAGCAGAATGAGTTATGTAAAGACAACTTGGTTAGAGGTAAGTATCTAGTTATTTAAGTTAGAAACTAAAATTTAACACATGTGGCCACTTAAGTTTGTGTTATAGAATTGATCACTTTCAGAAGGACAAGAGTAAAATTCCAGGGACTTCTGTGGGCAGTGAAGCACCACTCCCTGGAAACTAAGATTCTCAGGAGGACTGGGTAAGGATGGGATTTGGCAGGCAGAGCACTGAGCTTTTCCCTGCTCGCACACATTTTGGGTATTAACTAGTCTTGATAGAGAACTCTTCTCTGAAAGCCATGGGGGTCAGTGTGTAGTGGCTTTTTGTTGAATTCAAGCAAGCATACGCAGGTAGTATTTTCAGCACCTGTAAGTAATCTAAGTCTCTATTATTTTCTTATTTTTTCGGAAACTTGTGATTACTAACCAATAAATACAACAAAGGGAAAAAAACTCTTTTAAAAGTTACATTTTGTGCTGAGGATATTGGTAGAGTGCTTACCTAGCATATACAAAACCCTGGGGTTCAATTTCCAGCATGGCATGGTGGCTCATGCCTGTAATCTCTGCACTTGGGAAGCAAAGGCAGGATGGTCGAGAGTTCAAGGTCATGCTCAACTACAAACTCATCTGGAGTTCAAGACCAGCCTGAGCTACATGAGA